CATTTTGTCCGTCATTAAAACGGCGGCATTACGTTTTCATCACCAGGTGTTTGTTGTAGCTATATGGGCGCAGCACTCAGTTTCAAATACATAAATTATGAGCCTTTATAGACATAGTGTTTCTTGCGTAAAGAAAACGCTGTACTTATTCAAACAACAAGATCTTTATTTACCCTTGCAGACCTAGTTCAGCTGCTGTGGAACTTCAGTTCATTCAGTCAAGATAGAGGGGGTGGAGTTATGAGGTTTACTGACAGTTTGAGCGGATCCAACAAGATTTAGTCACAAGCTCTTTTTAATACCTTTCATTAGCTAAATATTTGTAAAGCAGACAGACAGATGTAAAGGGTGACCAATATCATTGATTTATTGAAGGAAAAAAAAAAACACCATCACCAAAAAAAAGGGCACTTCGGAGTGTAAGGGCAAAAAGGGCATGTGCTCTGCACAGGTTGAGCCCTACCTGTGCACGTGCCTGCTTACATGTATGTGTGGGGTGGCGTGTTTGTTTGACGTGCGTGGTGTGTGCATGTAATGTGGAACTTCAGTTCATTCAGTCAAGATAGAGGGGGTGGAGTTATGAGGTTTACTGACAGTTTGAGCGGATCCAACAAGATTTAGTCACAAGCTCTTTTTAATACCTTTCATTAGCTAAATATTTGTAAAGCAGACAGACAGATGTAAAGGGTGACCAATATCATTGATTTATTGAAGGAAAAAAAAAAACACCATCACCAAAAAAAAGGGCACTTCGGAGTGTAAGGGCAAAAAGGGCATGTGCTCTGCACAGGTTGAGCCCTACTTGTGCACGTGCCTGCTTACATGTATGTGTGGGGTGGCATGTCTGTTTGACGTGCGTGGTGTGTGCATGTAATGTGTGTGCGTCCAGTTTGTACCCGGTGCCACTGTCTTCTTCAAATGAAGTATCAGGTGAGTAGCTAGAGCTTCGTTAGCTAGAGCACAGACCAGGAGAACATTCGGTGAGGCATAATCCAAGGCACGCACCTTTGCCAGCAGCCGAAAGAGAGAGTTTTTTGCGTCTGCACGTCCCAGCTGCACTCTCGATCACACCGTCACGGCATCCAACTCCAGGAAAGCATAAGCCACACAAACTGGTCACTGCTTGCTCTTTCACCTCACGTTTTCCTCCCAAGCGGACTCATTTCTCATACCGGAGCACAGAACTTCTCCCATTGTTCAGTCAGCACATATTTCCATAGCTTCGAGACTTCGCACAGCACACACATCACCAGTCACTTCCGTTCACATTCGTTCAGGTTCTTCCATTCACTTCCACTTCCGTTCACGTGAAAATGCCCCTCCTTAAATAGTTCGTCACAAAGTATCCACTTCTTCTAATTGGTCAACAGCATAATATAAAATAAATATTCAATTGGCGATCGGATTCCATTCTGCCACAACTTAAGGTAATGCCGGAAGAAGATCAGGGCACTTCTGCAGCCAGATGAGCCTGTATCATAGAGTGTGTCCATACTATTTATTTTTCTGAAGTCAGGTATGCATCTTTTACTCAGAATTATCTTTGAGAATTTGATGCCTTGTTTTGATTATCTGTGAATTGACTATGTAATTGGCATAATACATATTTACCTGACTGATAATAAATTGGTACATCTGAATTGATTCTGTTTACTCTGAAATGATTGGCTCTAGTAGATAATGTTGTATCATTGTTACCCCATATCTACGTCAGGATAGTAACGGATCTGGTTAACATTTGGCATTAGTTCACTGTAAAGGCCAAAAAGGGAATTTCCATTCAGGTCCAGTGAATGTTGTTCGACCAACCTAAATTTTGGTGGGCCTTACCTCTGTTTACTGTAATATTACTCTAGCTGAGTGTACATGGGAAACTATGGCATGACCATACTAAAGCTACTATCAGAGAAAGTAATGTTGGTCGGCTTATATCTATAATAGTGGTCATGACCTCTGACTAGGGGTAATATTGTTTTATTCTAGTGCGTACAGATCTATGGGGACTAAATAAAAGTACTTTTAGAATGAGTAAGAATAGGGTGGCCATCTAAATAGTATTAGTCAATTACCTTTGTAATTGGTGAACAAGACTGACGAGTTTGTGAGTATGAGGTCCGTATACCTGGCCGTTACTAGACTCCAACTTTTATAGGAATCCAAATGAAAAAAAGTACAACAAGAAGAGTTAAATACAATAATCATATGTCTAAATAAATTATCTTATGAATGAGAAATAACAGTAATAGGTATTCTAACCTAAATTCGAAGTCATAAAAATGGAGTCAGAAGAATTTAATTGAAATTAAATTACTTTGCGCACTTAAAAGACCGAACATGCAGGAAACCTTCAGTCACCACTGGATACCTTCATTGGGCCAATTGGGTGGACCTTACAATATAGATAGATAGATAGATAGTGTCTCGGTGACCAGTTCTGTCACCAACACACACACACACAAACACACACACACAGGGTCTAGTCTCGTCTAAAACCCACCCGATGTTCTCCTTGGATTGTTACTCACCTGAAGTCTACTTACGTGTTGTTCGTTTCCTCACTCAAGTCTCCTATCTCCGATCTCCAGCTCTATGTTTCCTTCTCCAAGTGTCGTGTGTTCACCCTGCAAGAAAAGAAAGGAAAGTGTTTATCTGTTCATCAGTGACTGTAAATGTGTGTGGCATCTTACCCATCTGGTCATTCTCCTGCTGCATCTTCTATGCATACCTGTGCATCCATTCCCTAATCCATTCTGCTGTGTTTCGATAAAGTTTGCTTGAACTTTACTTTCCATCTCTCTGGCCTGTGTACCCTGACAGAAGACTAAACCTCAACAGACAACACAGCAGAATGAGCTCCATTTTATCTGATCCAGCCACACTAATTCTCTCCATAACCCAATATAGCCACCCGATCGAGGAGTTCCTCCAGCTCTCCCACCAGGTACATTGGAATGATGGGACATTTGTTATGTCCCTTTTGTTCTATTTCTGTGGCTGCGTCCGAAACCGCCTACTCAGTGAGTAGGTACTTAATTCATTACGTACTTACTTAACGAGTGCTAAAAGAGTAGGTACTCTACTCTCCCACCAGGTACATTGGAATGATGGGACATTTGTTATGTCCCTTTTGTTCTATTTCTGTGGCTGCGTCCGAAACCGCCTACTCAGTGAGTAGGTACTTAATTTCATTATGTACTTACTTAACGAGCGCTAAAAGAGTAGGTACTCTACAGCCAAATCTCGTTAAGTATGAATGCGATCCAGGCATCATCCGCCATGTTGACGTTATCATGTGATCTACGACGTTACAAGCGCAACAACTTAAAAAATATGAGTGACAGGTTTAATTCATCTCTCTGTAAATATTTTGATGTTTATGAAATTTCCTCATTTTGTGGTCTTGTTGAAGAAACAGCTGCCCTTGTAGTGATTGTAGTATAACCAATACATTTTGGATTGATTTAATTTTTTTATTTTTAACCCTACTAATATGACCCACAGTTAAATCCTTAAATATATTATTTTTATTATGAAAACCCAAAATTGTTATCTCTTGAATATGTTGTTACTTTCTTTATTTTATGTGCAAAAATGTGAAATTTTTCATCCACAAGCAAAACCGGCTTAAATCTCCTGTTTTCCTCTTTTTCTTGTTGAATTTAACTCTCGTTTCATCCCTCCGGCTTATAAACAACAACAACAAATGCAATATTTTGATGCATTGATTATATGAATATTATGATTATTCAAAGCTATTTAACCTTGTCATTGTGCCTTTTTTCTGTGCATATAATCTCATACTATGATGTATGCAAACCCATTATATTTATGTTTTTTGCTTTTGTCATTATGACTGTTCATTGTAAAAGATACAACCATCTTTCCCTGAGCTTGAATGTAATTATAGGTTCTGCAGTAATAATAATAAAAAAAGAACATAAGAGGCACAGGTGCACTATAAAAATGTAAGTATTACTACTTAAACATTAAGATTACCCCAGAATGCATTGCTAGCCCACCCCAACACTTATGAACAATAATAATGATAAATACTGACCAAAAATTAGCAAAATGTAATTTGTTTTGTCATATGCCATAGCTATGACTACACACTAGACAAACGCAGCCAAGGTGAATACATCTCAATTTTCAGTCAAGTAATGAATTAATGCACAAGTTAATGAAACAATTATATTTTATTTACTGACAACAGGAAACATGAATACATGAGTAAAAGAATAAATAAAAGTAAGAATCACAATAAATAAATACAAGTCATTGACAAATGAAACGCAAGGCTCTTTTCTCCAGGTTGCTACAGGGGGATTGGGGGTCCCTGTAATAAGAGCACTGTAAGTAATTTCAGATAAAAGTGTCTGCCAAATGCAGAAATGTAAATGTGATTTTTTTTTTGTGTCTTGGGCACAAACGCTCAATAAAGCTTTTTATTTTGTCAAGGTACTACTATATAAATGCATACATATTTCATACAATTTCTATTTGGGGGGTTTTAAGGGTTAGTTCACCCAAACATATAAATTCAGTCATTATTTACTCTCCACACTGTTCAATCCTTGTTTTTTTTTCTGAACACAAAAGGTGATTTTGGTTAAGTTTTTTCTGCTGGTTTCTGTTCATACAATATCAGTTAATGGTGCCTGACTTTCAGAAGCTTCATGACTTTATTTAATGATGCTTTTGAAGATTCTGAAACTCGGGCTCCATTGACTGATGTTGTATGAACAGAAATCAGCAGAACCAACTTGACCAAAATCACATCCTCAATGTCTTTTGGTCTTTCTCTAGATGCTCTCGCTGGCTCTGGGCTCACTGAGGATGAAGAGACCAGGATGAACATCCGACCCAGGTGAGGCAGTAAGAGGTGGAGTGATGGACCTTGCAGGTCCTGCTCCACCACAAAAGATCTGCAGCAAATGTACAGAAATCAAGAATCAGAAAAGTGCTGTAATAACTCTGTTTGAAATTACAATAAAGTCACTCTGCAGCGGACAAAAACACGTGTGTCTCATCTGTCCCTGTAACATCCAGACAAGATTCAAGTCACCTCTGTAATTTATCTGCTCAATACTGCATTTACATGTTATTTTAACTCACTTTTTATCTAACACAAGTGCTGCACAATTTATCAACAATGCTGTAGGATTTCTGTCTTCAAAAACAGAAACCATTTAATCGGTGAGCAGACACAAACGAACATTGAATCTCTGCATTCCACCGGAAACTAAAGGTTCTCCTCCCCAGCCATCTGCGGTCGTAAAACTACATACAGGGTCAGCTCAGTGTCTCAGCAGTTCCTGTCCCCTTCGGCTTATCTTCTCAAGAGACTCAAAGAAAACCACTAAGACCGCAATAACTGACCCCTGCATCTGGACTAATTTAAGCAACAGAACGTCAGGGTTGTCTCGTGACTGGCTTCAGCATAAATAAACTATCTAATAACCAACAGAACAAAGAACCTGGTATCTGGAAATGTTCCAGCGACAGACACTCCTGGACCCCATGACCGTTTAACGCATAAATTGATAGTCCGATAAACAGAAAGCGACAGATTAATAGCTCCATGTCCGAGCGAGAAGAATGGCAGATCTCCACCCGTGACAGTGTCATGACCTCAGGACATCTCCCCTCTTTCTCCCTGCATTCCAAAAGGGACGCATCCTTTTCCTACTTTCCAGAAAAGCGCGCGGTTCTCCTGTCACAGACAAAGAAACAAAACTTACACAGACAATTCAAAAGACAATCATTTATGTGTATAACAGGGCAACCATATTCACAAATAGGGGAAATCGTGGCCTAATGGTTAGAGAGTCGGACTCATAACCCAAAGGTTGTGGGTTCGAGTCTCGTACCTACAGGGATTGTAGGTGGGGGGAGTGAATGTACAGCGCTCTCTCCCACCTTCAATACCACGACTGAGGCGCCCTTGAGCAAGGCACCGAACCCCCAACTGCTCCCCGGGTGCCGCAGCAAAAAATGGCTGCCCACTGCTCGGGGTGTGTGTTCACGGTGTGTGTGTGTTCACTGCTGGTGATGTAGATATGTGGGGGCGTGTTAGAAGGAGCCATTTTAGGTATGTGTGGCTGACTCTTAACCTTTATAAAGAATATCTCTTTGGATTTGAGACTTTAGTCTTTGCAACTTTACAGATCTTATGCACCAAGAGCTTGTAACACTCCAAGGAGAAAGGAAACATTGAAATCGCATCATATGACCCCTTTAATATGTGAAGTTTAGTGTTCAGAACAGCGGTCTGAATGAAAAAGTGGGAAGTCTGTAAAATACTCGCATTAATAAACTTCATAGAAGTATCAAACAAATCTCCGCAAAGATATTTGTCCACATGATAAATTGAAGCCTCATGTTAATGTATGCATGCTCCGCCTTGCAAGAAGTCGATTGGAAGATCGCGCCGTGGGACAGACTTATGCCGCAGATCAAAAACCCAATGCAAGACAGACTCAGGGCACTCGCTTGCTCCTTCGCCTTTCGCCGTGTTAATAGCACTCCAGCCTGTGCTCACACGCTTACCATCAAAGCGATCGGTCATCCAAAACTCAAACACTTCAGTTGGCTACAATATGCCGAACAGCTCCTGGAAAGGGCAAAGGCCGACTTCAGAGACAAGAACGGCCGAATTAAAGCCCTTGAAACTCAACTGGATGAGTCAAGAAATGAGATCGGTCGCCTAACACAACAGCTGGACTACATCAAAGAGAAGTCCGACAGCATCAGAGAGGAACTCAGACATGCCTACGAGCTGCGCCCTGAGCCTACAAAGACACGGCGGGCACCAGTCTCACCCGTGCCAAGCAGGACCGGGTCACCTGTTCCTGGACGGACGCGTGAGCAAAAGGGGGAGGGGGCAGTGCTAAAACATTCACCAGCTCCCTCTGAAGAACTTTACCTCACGACAAAGCTAAAAGAACCTGCTCCAGCCAGCCACAGATCATCGCATGGCTTGGACCTCAAAGACCTCGACAAGCTCGCCAGAAACATTGGCAAATTTACCCCAAGTGTGCCAGGTAGCCAGGATGTCCAAGCTTATCTGCAAGACGTCGATTTCCATCTGGAAATGAGACTCAATGTCACGGACAAAGATAGACTCTATTTGCTCCGAACAACAGCCAGCCCCGACGTGCGCAGTTTCCTGGACAGGCAGCCGGCTCACACAAAGGCTGACTACCACCTCCTCCGAGAGGCCCTCATTAAAGAATTCGCCGACCCTGA